GTGAATGCTCTATTTTTCTTGTAATTCATAAAAGCTTTGCCATGAATACATTAAGCATTAGATCATGATACAAAATAATTATTTTTATGTGCAAGTTAAGAAAACTAATTATAAATGATATTTTATTATTTTATAAATAGACAAAAAGTTGCTTTCCATAAGAATTTTTTAAAAAGTTAAATTATAAAAATTATTACTTTTGTTATTCTTAATTATGAATTATAATAAAATATTTCTAGTTTTCTTAATATTAATACAGGAAAACCCTGATTATTGCAGTTAATGTTGCTGGGGGAAAAAAACACAATAATTGAAAAGAATAACGCCAAGAATTTTTCAAAATTATGATTAAAACTTTAAATATTAGGGTGACCGTAAGGTCAGCCTTGTCAGGACGGACACCACCGGGTCTTGTTTAACACAGAAGCCAAGATGGCGTATAGATTTGGTCACGCAAGTGGCCGTGTGCGCAGACAATCATATTCGGGATGGAGACAGGTTGAGAGACAGCATACCAGAAGTGACTCACTCGGATACCAAGTTAACTAAACAACTGTTTAATTATAAAGAAAAATATATATATATGAAATACATTTTATCAATGGTGAGTATGATAAATTGAGCTAAAATAGGTCTAGATAGGCCAAATTTCACGGTTCTCGAGAGAGAGAGTTTACATGAGGTTTGCACGACGATAAATACCTTATTGAGGATCTTGTCTTGATCTAGAACGTTCTGGTTGAAGGAAAGGAAGTTCGGGATGTCAGTTCGAGTATCCTGTAAATGAAATGTTCGTAGGCCTGATGGAACATATCTGTAAAGATTTTAAACTATGGTTTCCGATGATATATTAGAAGGATATAGGAATGTATAATAAAATGATATATTCAAAGATATCTGAATATTGAGGCACTTAGGATAAGGAGCTGGTGACAACTCCCAACTTTATCAGTTTCTTGTTATATTCAACTGATGAACTGGAGACAATAGGTTGGGAGGTTATGAGAAAGAGTCACTTAGCTGCTGAGAACTTAACAAACAAACAACTCACAGGTGCAAATGTTGACAGTTATTCGACAAGATGGTATAGTTAGAAGATTATGTTATGATTTAGTAATGTAAATAAATTATGCTGAGTCTCACATTAGTTGTTATGTTAGATATTTATTTATGTATATATTTAAAGGAAGAGAGTAATAAATTAAATGCAACTTTTAGTTTTTAAACTTAATAATTAAACAAAAAAATTGAGTCATAAACCAAAATAAGAAAGAAGTTTTTGAAGAAAAGTCTTCTATGTTAATTTTCCAAAAAACATAGAATACTTTTTCAAAAATTTCTTTTTCTTCTCTTGGTATATGACTCAATAACAGCAAATAACATTCTCTATTCCTCACTGTATTTTCTTGAACATCCATCAATAGGATCACCAACCATTATTTTTTGTATAAGAGATTTACAAACTGAAACATTTCATCAAGTTCTTTTAATATGAATATCTTCATTACTGTTTTAATTTCATTATCTCCAATCCACCCTGAGCTTCACATGCTCATTCTATATCTAGATTAATTAGATTTTTATCACTGAGGTCATTATCATAGGACTGGAGCAATTTTTGAACATTTTCTTATCTATCCAATACAAGTTGTGCAGTTTCTTTTACAGTATCATTAATTTCAAGTTGAATCATTGGAAATCACTTGTTTGTTCAGGAATAAGTTTTTGTTGAACATCTGTGTTAGTTTTGTAACTTCTCTCAATGTTTTCAAGAATACTTTTTGTGCTAAAATTTTCAAAAATTCGATTAAAGATTCTTCTTTTGTTTTTAATTGTCTGGCTAAAAGTCTTATGAAGGTAATACACTTTAACTATTAAAATTGCTTCTTGGTCCACAGGCTGTAGCAATGAAGCTGTATTAGGTAGTAAAATAATTACTTTTAACATTTTGACACATACCATTAGGTTTTATTGGATAATCAGGAACACTATCTAAAATTAACAAACCTTTGAATTCAAGATTTGTATAGTAAAATGAACTGTATGCTTTATTGATGATGCTTTTAATCTCAATATGAAACTTTGATTTAAAAGTGATTCAAATTACACTGGGACCAGTATGTTTTGAAAAGCTGTCTGTGAAGAAATGTTAGACAAAAATTGCAAAAACTATTTGGGAATGTCTGATAAATCTCAACATATATTGCAAATAAGCATGTTGAAACTCTTCATCATTACGGCACAGTTGAAAAAATGATGTTTAGGTTCTGCTTGTGTTAAGTGAAAAAAAAAAGGCAAATTGCCTTTATTTTTTACTTAACACAAGCAGAACCTAAACATCATTTTAAACGTCAAAATACACTGCAATATTAAAAAGCAAGAATCAGATATTTCATATTTTGAGCTTAAAAAGACTAAATGAAAACCTAATTAATGCTCCTTGAATGATGTTAACCAGGACTGTGAAATTGGAGCCAGAATTGTAAGCAAATTTGTTGCTACAAAAGTCAGTAAAAATTGATTGACTCCATCTCCTGTTTTTTTATTATGTATTTTATATTGAGCTCCTATAGGACCAGAGCATTGAAATTGGACTTTCTAAAATTCCACTCAACTCATGTTAATGAGTTGAGCGGTTAATGGACCATCTTTGGGTGTGGACATTGAAAATGGAATTTCAACACATTTAAAGATGCATTTATTAAGCTAAATAACCACAGTGACTTGATCATCCTTACTAAATGTAAATTTTCATTTGGCAGAATAAACTGCAACAATTCAAATTTTTGGAGCAATAATCAGAATTTTAGTATCAAATGAGTATCCATAACTCAAGAACCATGTTAATTGAAACCACAATAACTGGAGTTTTCTTGAACATAGTAATTATGTTTAATATTTCACAATTGTCAGATATGTTTTGAGTAAAATATTTACTTGTGTTTTGTGAAGATTAAATAAACAGAGGAAAATGAGGATGTTAGGTAAATAGAGATTATAAATTATGTAATAAAATTTCTAAAAGTTTTCTTTTAAAGTACATGCAATCAAATTTAGAAATAAAAATGAAATTGTTTTGAACAATGGAGTTTTCTATGAGAAAATACTGTAAAAAATTTTTGTAAGATATTAAGAATATTAATGTAGTTTTGCAGAAAACTGTTTTTATGTGCTTAATATCTTGCATCAACCAAAATAACTATAAATGTCATTTTTATTTATTTTACAATACATTTGGAAAGATGCAATATATGATGCAGTGATGTTTTTAAGCAATCAATATGCAGAGCTATGTTAAAGCCAATATTACTGGCTTATCTTACATATATGCATGAGCTTGGTTGTTAAACTGAGAATTAGTGAATATGGTCTAAAAATCAAGCAATTAATTAATAAATATATCATTTGAATGCACAAAACATTCAGTGAATACAGTCAATGTATTATTAAATATTATTTTGTTTATAAAAACAGGGATGCACAACCTTTTGTGAAGAAGGGCCAAATTAGGATTAAGTTAATTGACTGGGGGCCGGACCTCCAAGTGATTAATGCGATGTCTGATGCAATTTGCGAGATTCTTTNTAATTTTTTAAGCAAACATGATTAATTAACAATGTGATAAATTAAAACTTATAAAAGATAGTTAAAAAGTAAATAGTACTATAATTTTATCTCAAATTTTGTTTCCTTATAATTTGTTTCATTAGGAGAGCCACTTAATCGGAACAAATTAATCAGGTACCAATGTGTCCCAATTAAGCAGAATAGACTGTATTGGTTTTGAACCAACAGTTTATGCACATAAGCAAATCCACATACTTGTAGTTAGTAATTTTTAGTTTTATTTAAATAAAACAAGTAACAAAAAAAAAAAAAATTATATTTTTGCTATTATCTGTATATCTAGAATTAAAGAGAATAAGTTTAATTCTCATGCCAGAATCTGTCGAAAATACCGTTCTTAGTTTTATTTAAATAAAACAAGTAACAAAAAAAAAAAAAAAATTATATTCTTGCTATTATCTGTATATCTAGAATTAAAGAGAATAAGTTTAATTCTCATAACATGCCAATTAGTTACAAAATTATGCAGCTGGGCCTATAATTGTATTAGTTAAAAGTGATTCAACCGCACATGAATTTTATGTAATTAATTTCCATTTGCAGTACTGAGATCTAAAATGATGCATTATAAAACCTGTACACTATACACTTTCCCTTAATGCTTTGCCTATAAGCTTCTCCACATAATCTTCCATGGCATGTTTCTTTTGGGAAACATTGTATAAATAGAACAATATATACATCAACCTGATTCAATTATGACTGCCAAACAAACTGCTGGATATTAAATAATCCAATAGTTCATTTAGCATTAGTAATTTAATCAGGTTGATGTATAAATTATTTTAATCTTTATTAATGCTAATTTAACAAAAACTGAAATTTTGTTTTAAAGACAGACGGTAGTGACATCATGTAATTTATAGACACATCATGTAATTTATAGACATTGATAGATAGAAATTAAAATTCAAAATTAATTTCTAATTATTAAGCTAAATTTTGATCTTAATTAAAATTAGCATTGTTACAGTCCAAAATAATCTGACAGTTCAGGCTAATGTATAAATATAAAAAATTTAGATTTATATTCATCTAAATATAGTTGACCCCCCCCCATAACACGGTAGATACGTTCTGTTCTTTATTAAATTGATGTTCTAAGAATTCTTGAATACATGAGCCAATCACAGCCCAGCACATATGCAGTTTACGGACTATGGCTGTTTGAAAAGTTTTCTTCCATAAAATTAATCGATTCTAAACTAATTTGACTCTAGAATCGATTAATTTTATGGAAGAAAACCTTTCAAACAACCATATTTCCAAAATATGTATAATTTTTTGGGAATAATCCATATAAATTATGCTATAAACAAAAAATTGTAGGATTACTTACCAAGTGTGCACCATTTGACAATGCCATTGCTTAAGCTTGTTTTCGTCGTGCGGCTTGTTAACGAATGGCGCTTGCGTGCTTTCTGATAAATTATTTTTTTTGCGAAAAATTCTCTTAACTTTGGAGACATCATTAATATAAATATAATTTTTATGGACGTTAAATAATAAATGTTCTTTAGTAGGTTCGTTGCTCGTTTAAACTCAACGGTTTGTGCAATATTCGCTATTGGTCTAGATTCGACCAATCCTGTCGCGACACGATTTGGCAATGACATTTTGCCGAATTATACGAGATTTTTTAGCGTGTTTGTACAAATACTGTTCCAATTTTTTTTCCATTATGTAGGAATCCGAACTATATGAACCCGTGTTATAGGGGGGTCAACTGTATTTTAATTACTCACGTGATTTGTCTTTATTTATTAAACTGTGCATATTCAATCCTTCTACATTACTTTGATTATCTTCCAATATACAGGAGAGCTTTAAATATTAAAAAACTAATTGTTAATTTTTAAAACAAAAATTTTTCTCATTTTTTAAAATACTCAAACTTTACCTGTTCTGCAGAGGCAAAAGCTTCATCTTTATTGCTAGCATGAAAATAATAAAAATCTATTATGAAATTATTAAAACTGATTTCAAAAATAAAATCTAATGAATTTCAACAAAAAAATAAACAAGTAGTATATAAATAATACATTTTAGTATTTAGAAAATAATATTTATATTTCATCCATTGACTTATCTTCTGAATTTAAATATATCAATATAAGAAAGCATAAAATAATCCAAAATATTTTGATGATTATCAAAAATGATCAAATTTTAATTCACAGATATTGAATATCTGTGATTCAAAATATTATTATTATCTATAATTTGAACTTAAAATTTTTAAATATGTTCAGAAATTAATTTATTGGTTCTTCTTTACTTATATACACTGTAGAGATTGTTTTATTAAATTCCAAATTCAAGAATTTCCTAAAATTTTCTAAACATTCTTTTGAATTGATGAAATGTATATTTTGATGATTATTGTAATAAATTTAACTAATAAATTATAAAGCTCTTGTTCCTTTTTTGTCCACAAATATTTTAAACTTATTTTCAATAAATACATTTTTTTAAATTAAAAAATTACCTGTCTACTTTCTTTGTAGCCAATTTTCTTCTTTTAGAATTGCTTTTTGATACTGGAATATCTAAATAATAATAATTATTATTATTATTATTAATACAAACTATGAAATATATCCCACAATATTTTAATTTACCATTTATATCTGTAGTTTGAATATTTTCTAAATCACTTTCAAAATCTTTAAATGCTTCATTGAACTCATCATCGTCATTAAAATCATATTCATCATCATCGTCGTCATCATCATCATTACTATAACTTTCACTTTTTCTCTTCTTTCGTTTTTTTGTTTGTTTCTGATCAGAAATATCAGCAGCAAAATTGAGTTCATCTGATTTAAAGCCAGGTTCAAATTTATCCAAAAGGGCTTCAAAATCTTCACTGGCAACACTTTCCACATCTGAATCTTTATCTTTCTTTTCATCCTTTTGTTTGAAATTATTGGTTTGGAAATATTGATAAAGAAACTTTTCTTCTGGCCGAGCATTATCAGAATTTGAAGAATTAATATTTAAAGATTGTTGTTTTAATTGATGTTGACGTCCAAATATTTTTTGGCGTTCATTTTCACAAGGAGATAGTTTTGATTTCTTTGGATTTCGGTATACAAATTTATCAAGAAATTTGATGAGTGTAAAATCATGCAATGGATCACCATCATATTCAATGCATTTACCTTTTAGTACCTGCTGGCTAAAAACACTTACTGATGGATGAAAATGTTTTGTTAACAATGTTAATTCCCATGGAATACTATATTCAGCACCAGCATATAATGGATTTCTGTGATTAGGATTATAAAGTTTTGATGCTGTGCATCCATGTACTTGAAGATTATTTCGATGCAACCAAGACGAATTTTGTTTTGAATTAGATTTAAAATTAGACTCTTTTGTTCTTTCTTCATTCTAAAAAAATTTAAAGTGAATAATTATATTAACAATCCATCTTACATTTAATTATACACCTCATCTAATTTAACATAACTTTTCTTTACCATAAATTATTTAAATTTATGTACCTCTGATACATCTTCATAATGTTCATAACTGTCATCATCCTCACCATCATCACTACTAGCAATACTAATATTATTACTATTTAGAAGATTTGGATGTTCTTTCAATAACTGAGATACGAGAATTAAAGTACCACACACAAGACCAGGAGCTTGATATTCACAAACCTTTAAAAAACAACAGTTAAAAATTAAATAATGTTATGAAAAATTATCAATAATATAATAAATTATTTATAAGAATGTAACTACAATTCTTGTAATGACATTACAAAAATGATATATGTATGTATAATCAACAAGCAAAAAAATGTTTAACTTCTTAAATCTGTGCAGTTTAAGATGTGCATTTGTTTGTTTGTTTATATAAGGATCCAAGTTTAATGTAGTATTCTATAAATTTAATGTATACATAGTAAATTGTTTTAATTTGTTCTATATGTTTTCTTTAATTTCAGAAACAGATACTATTTCTCATAAGTAGGTAAATAGGTATAATTTCTTGCAGATATTATTTTCATAACTGAAACACCTTGAGCACATTTTAGGAATCATTGTAGCTGCTTCCTCTAAGTGCTTTCCAAGTCAAATTAGTGATTTCACCTTACATTTAAACCGCCTCTGTTTAAGTATGTGAGTGCAAGAAAATTCATCAGACTTCCATCACATGGTCTAACTAGAATGAGGCTGTTTTTGATTATTTGAATGGCTTTCCTAACCTTGAGGTCATCCATATTCAGTTGTGAACTTCAAACAACAATTAACACCTCAATACCACTTCCAGCAGTCAAAAGATTTTAATAATCTAACGTTTTCGGCCGTCTTTTAGAGGCCCTCCTCAGGATGAAACATTAAAAAAAAACAGTTCTATCTTTTATATCAGTTGTGAACTTGGCAGATGAGAAGATACCATATCACGGTACACAAAAACTTTGTCATAATCATTGAAATATAAGGTGTCTAAGCTCCTTTTTAGTTTTCTAGTTCCATTAACTCTTTATGCTTTGAAATTTTTCCCCATACTCAATGAGCTTTCCTTCCTGCTATTTAATATTTGGCGTGAGAATCAAGCTGTATTGTATTTTCCCCCCCTCTGTATCAGGAGATAAAATTGTTTGTACTCTTCAGGAACTTGTATAGAAAAACCAGTCAAACAACTTTTCCTTCAGTCAATTTTGTCTTGAATGGGATTAAGTTGATTTTGGCTGATTTTTTGTTTAATTAAAGAAATAAAGAATATTATTACATTTTAATATTTTTAGTATAGCCTTGAAATCAAACTGAGTAAGCAAATTCACTAGCCCAGTGTAATTGGTACTTATTGTGCAAGTATCAACTCACTTCTTCATGAATTTGTATACTGATGAGTAGCTAGTAAACTCACCAAATGTAATTTAGACTAGACTTTACTGTTGATCATAAAAAACACAGTACTTTGCATCTTCTAGTATGATTTTTTACCTAGTGTGCAAAAATGCAATGAAAATAAAATATCAATAGATAAATAATATATAAGTAGTATTTTCCCTTATCTTTTATAATATTTTTCCATAAATTATCAAAGTATCTTTCTCTTTGATATATTAATGAGAGACAAATCACAAACACATTTCAGTTTGTTATTTGTCTCTCAATAGGTTAATATATGAAAGCTGCTCAGATGAATGCTATTTCTTACCATTTATTGTGTTTTATATCATGCTGTAGCTCATCCTTATCTATTCTTATTCTTCATTTGAAACTGTAACAATTTAGTAATTCTCAAAGGTATCTTTTTGTATGTTTTTTTATAATGAAAAATTTTGTAAAACTGATTCAAATTTAAAAAAAAATTAATACAGTAGAGCATTGTTTATCCGAATCAATTGGAAACTGAGGTTGTTCGGATAACTTATTTTTTGGATAACTGATTATGTACGAAAAAATATATTAACCTATCCCATGTTTAAATTTTTCTCCATTGTGTGTCGCTTTGCGTTGAATTTTCGTCAATGTTAAGCCTAACGTAAACTTTTTAAAATAATAATCGTGGCTATTGTATCGTTAAAAATTATTTCTTTATTTTTTACAAACAAAATAAATATATTGAAAAATATAAAAACAATAAAAAATTATACTTCAGAAGTTANAAAAAAAATATTAGAGTAAAAATATAGCCAAAGATTGCAGTGCCACAGCATTAGCAAAAATTTAAATTTGCCAACTGGAATGCTTTCGGTTAACTGACTTTTCGGATAACCGGCTTTCGGATAAATGACGCTCTACTGTAACTGCAAATTATATTTATAGTAATATTTTAAAATATTGCTAATATAAAATGAAAAAACATATAATTTTTCATATTTTGTGTAATTTCATAAAAAGATATCCATATATATATAAAAATATATATATCAGTATTCAGTGGCTTTTTCCACTTGTTCACTGATATGCCACCATTTTTACTTTGTTTAAAAGAGTTTTAGCAGTTGATAATTGAAACAAATTTTTAAATCATTATCATCACCAAACAATGTGACATATAAAGATGTTAATATAACATCATTTCATAGAATCTACTACATATATATCAAAATAAAATAAGAAAATAACATTTAGAATTAATTCTATCATAATTTTTATAATGATTTTGTCAAACTAAATAATCATTTTTTTTCTTTTCTCCATTTTGTTTAGGTGGATTTGTATTGCTTTATTTTTCTAGAAATAATTCCATTTCAAAATTCAACATATAATCCCTGTATACACAGTTGTCATTTTACATCAGGTTATGTTCCTCAGTTTCAGAAAAAAGTGAACTGAAAAAGTTGAAAAAAAAGACGAAAAAAGTTTTAAAGAAAGCTCAAGTAAGAGTTGCTTTGTATAATGAAATAACAACTTCCCCTGCCACCTGATCAGTCATCACAATATGGAGAACACGGATAAGGGCTTGTATTTTCTATTGCAAATATTTTGAGAAAATCAAAAACTTTGTTCTGCATATAGAAGATTCTGATTCTGCTGCAGTTGGTCAAATTAACAACTTAGTTTCGGACACTAGTGTTCAGGAAGGACTGTCTGCTGTATATTCATACAAATTTGTTGTTGATGCAATCACCAAATTAGAAAGGAAGCATCTTCAAAAAGAAAAGCAGTGGGAACTGTTTTTCTCAGTAAGTTAGATGAATTTGTCAAGCAAAAACTTGAGAAGAGCCTTGCTAGAATCCAGACTTAAAGAAGGTTGTGGAATGCAATGATTTAGAATTTCAAGTTAAGACACCATATCTGCTGCTAACATCTTTGGATGTTGAATGTCTTTTGCTGCATACAAAGATATTTTTCATGTAAACACAGAAACTTTACATTTGAAAATTTGGAAATGATTACCATTATTCAAGTTAATTTATTCCTTTTGACAAATGATTGTGATTTAAGTGACAATTGTATGAAAGTATAGTATAAAAATTAATGACCTGTGAGAAATATACTGTATCCTGCAATTTAAATAAAAATTTTTACTTGAGATAGATGCTTAACATGATTTTAGCACTACTTCTTTTCTCCATTTTTGCTTTTTATTTATCACTTTACATCCCATTTTTAAACTTCTTTAGCACTCTAAAATCCTATCCTTTACTAATTACATATACAGTAATACTTTAATACTCACTGAAATATTACTGTAACAATTGAAAATATAATCATTAATTGTTTTGATTTTTAAGTAATTTATAATTAGAAAATGAATTTTTAAAATGCTTTAAAAGTTATCAATCTATAACATAGTATCATAAATAATCTATTTTAATTGTTTATTTTTTTTGTTAATAAAAGCATTTATATAAATATTTTTAAACAAACATATAAATTTATAATTATAAAAATCAGCAGCATAATTTTAGCTTTAAGGAACCATTTTAAAATAGAAACAGTAAGAGCATATTAACATATCTTGAATTAAGTTATTAATTGCATATTTTTAAAACTATAGTAGAGCATCGATTATCCGAAACAATTCAGGACTAGGGTTGTTAGGATAACTGATCATTTACAAAAAAATATATTAAACACAAAACTTTTCTTTATATAATTTGTATCACATGTCTTATAAATACATACCTTACACAATGTAATACATTAAACTAAGCCTATAGTTCAGTTTGGCATGGAGGGGAAGAGTTTGCAACACCACAGCCCTAGCGGAAATTTGAATTTGCTGACTGGAATGCTTTCGGTTAACATTGATGTTTCAGTTGATCAGTATTCGGATAATCGAGTGCTCTACTGTATTATAATATTTAAAGCATTATACCTGAAATAATCTTTTAACAAATGCTTTAACTCTCTGTTCAATGTGATCTCGTTTTAAAGCACGATATATTAAGTTCAGAAACATTGTCTGTCTTGTAGAATGACTTAATCCTGGGTCTAATAGTTTTTTATATAAAACCACATAAAATCGATCTGATAGAGTTTCATCTAAACCATGAACCTAAAAAATTTAAAAATTAATTATAATGAATAATTTATAATTAATGGATATTTATTTTTTTAAACAATATTAATATGAATTTAAAGCAACATAATAATATTAAGCCATAAAAGCATACTAATAAAATTACGTTTATCTTAAAACTTTTAAATGTTTCCAAGTATAATAATCATATAAAAAATAACTTTTTGAATTAACTCTATGATCTTAAAAAAGTTAGCCAAAACTCAGCTCCTCATAGTTTCAAGCCTATGTATCAATATAGGATAACATTAATTAAGATACGACTGCAACTTTCAACACAAGGTTTTTACTTCTATTTATTTATGAATAAATTATTTTGCTATTTTTATAATAAAAAATATACCTGAAACAACAACATAAGAGCTTGGATGCTGATATTAAAACTGACTAAGTGAACTATTTGATACAAAGTATCCATTTGTTCAATTAACACTAATTTGTCATCTTTAACAAATGGGAAAGCTCTGTTTACTCCAGTCAATAAGGCACTCATCATTTTATTTTCAACTTCACCTGTTCTTGTACAGGCTTTAAAAAATCCAAAATAAATTCGAATAAGACGAGAAGCCAACAAACTATCTTCTGGACATAAAAGAAGCTGAAATATAAAATATAACAAATACATAATAATTTTTTAAGCAAACATGATTAATTAACAATGTGATAAATTAAAACTTATAAAAGATAGTTAAAAAGTAAATCTAAATATATAAAATTGCTTGTCCTGACTGACTCATTCATTCATTCACTGATTCATCATCGCCCAGAGCAAACCGCTTAACCTAAAGAGGTGAAATTTGGTACACAGTTAGGGTACGTCATGGAAACGCACACTAAGAAAGGATTTTTCGAAATTCCAACGCGGGGGGG